CCTTTCTTAAATAATGAGACCAAAACTGCACACAATATTCTAGATGCGGTCTCACCAAGGCCCTATATAATTGCAGTAAGACTTCTCTACTCTTGTACTCCAACCCCTTTGCAATAAACGTTAACATGCCATTAGCCTTTCTAATTGCTTGCTGTACCTGCATACTAACTTTCTGTGATTGGTGTACAAGGACACCTAAATCCCTCTGAACACTAACATTACCTAGTTTCTCCCCCTATAGAAAATATTCTGCTTTTCTACCTAGATGAATAACTTCACACTTGCCCACATTATACTCCATCTGCCACCTTCTTGCCCACTCATTTAGCCTGTCTATATCCCTTTGCATCCTCGTGTCCTCCTCACAGCTGACTTTCCCACCAAGCTTTGTATCGCCTGCGAATTTAGATATATATTAAGCTCTATTTCCTCATCTAAGTCCTTGATCTAGACTGTAATCAGTTAAGGCCCAAATACTGATCTTTGCGGCACTCCATGGAAGGCTTTGAAGGTGAGGATCTTGAACTGTATCCTCTGCGTAATGAAAGTGTGTATGAGGGTCTCGGCGGCCTGCAGTGTGAGACAGTGTCGGAGCCGGGCGATGTTGCGGAGGTGGGGGCGCTATGCAAATGCAAGTTATTGTTGTTCGTAAATTGTGTAAATGGGAGCGGGAAGATACAAAGGACTTAATAGTAATAATCCTTGCATTTGATATAATGCCTTATCACATCATTGAGATGTCTCAAAGCACTTCACAGAATATACTGTAAAGTCTAGTGACTGTGTATTCTGTGGGTAAAACATAGATTATGTGAATGGACAAAACTGTGGCAGATGGTATTCAATGTGGGGAAGTGTGAGGTTATCTACTATGGATCCCAAAATAGCAAAACAGAATATTTTCTAAATGGTGGGAAACTAAGAATTGTCGAGGAGCAAAGGGATTTGGGTGTCCATATTCACAAATCACTAAAAACAAGCTCACAGGTACAGTAATTTATCAAAAAGGCTAATGGGATGTTGGCCTTTGTCTCAAGGAGCTGGAATATAAAGAAGAGGAAATGATGCTTCAATTGTATAGAGCTTTGGTCAGACCTCACCTGGAGACTGTGTTCAGTTTTGGACATCTCAACTCAGGAAAGATGTATTTGGAGCACAACCACTATAGCAATTCATAAACACACAAACACCTCTTACTGTTATACATTACATCTGCTATAAAAATACACAGTCAAGTGAAGCACTTTGAGAAGTCCTCCTGATGTGAAAGGTGCTGTGGCTATTTGTCCTGGCCAACAATCTCCCAAATCAAATTGGCCTTTCACTTCCTGGCTGGTCTGTGGGACATTGCTAAGCCAAATTGTCTTGTCACGTTCGCCTACAGAATAGTCTCTACACTATTCCTTTGAGATGTCTCGATGATATGATAAGGCAATATATCAAATGGAAACACAGATAATAATAATAATAATAATAATCCTTGCATTTGATATAGCGCTTTTCACGTCGGGAGGACGTCCCAAAGCACTTCACGAAACACACTGTAAAGTGAATTGACTGTATATTTGTGGGCGAACGCGGCAGCCAATTGCGCACAGCAATGTCCCACAAACAGTCGTAGATTGAAAATGACCAATTTATTATTGTTTTGGGTTTTGGAGGATTATTATTAGGCTCTGTGTGGAGTAAGGAAACTTGCCCAAGGTTTCGCCCTCTGCCTGGAATTGAAGTCAGGTCTCTCACTTGGAAAGCGAGTGCTCTAACCACTGAGCTACAGGACTCCAAAATACAAGATGAGGCCATTCAGTCCCTCGAGCCTATCCCGCCATTCTATAAGACTGTGGCTGATCTGTACCCCAAGTCCAGTTACCCGCCAATGCCCCGATAATTTAATACCCTAAAAAATGGAAGGATTATTATTATTATTCCATTGCAGAGTGAAAGCATACATTTCAAAATAAATCATAATTCAGCTAATGCCTGGGGTAAATAAGAATCAATGTGGCCTCTCAACAGAAAAAAGGTGCCACTTAGCAGAGTACTGAACTCAGTGGATAAAGTTCCCACAAGCCGTGTGTGAATGGGAGCTAGGAATGGCCCATATCTGATCCCTAGTCTCTGCTGAGTCAGTTCATCTCAGTCAGGGCAAACAGTGAGTACTTGGCCTCTGTACCCTAGGCTAGGGAGGAGGGTGGGGCGGTTAGGGAGTATCAAAGACAGTCACATTCCACAGCAGGCTCTGGTTGCAAACTGCATGGATTGGCACCAGTTGGCGATGAAACAAGTTTAAACAGACATTCAGTGGATTGAATAATTTGCTTCTCCCACCCACCTAATACATGTAATAATGCCATTTCAGGAAGCTTTAGATTTCTGGATTATACTGCACTGGCAGATTGAACAAAACTGGTTTGTTAAAGACAAATTAAATGAAAGTAAAAGCAAAAATAGGCCATAAACTTTTCAATCAATATTCAGGTAATTTATTGGAAGAAACCACACTCCATGTGACACCTCAGTTTCCTCATCCGCTATTCTACGGAATTTTTTGGTCAGCCAGGTGTCTGAAACAAGCACAAACCCATCCCCCTGAATAATATTAAAACTATACAGCATTCCACATACATATATCACATATGTGTGGAAATTTCCCTCGTCTGCACTGAAATGTGCACACTCTCTCTATTTCTCCCCCGGAAGATCACATCCAACTTACCCATTTTCGGAGAGAATTTGACACACGTTAGCAAGAGCTGAGGCTTGGGAGACCTCAGAGAGCACATTAGGTGGTGATGGATTTTACCATACATCTACCATCCAGATGGTGGGAAAACCTATTCAGGACAGTGACGTGACAGCCACCAATGTTCCAGAACCCAATGCCCACCAGACTTACTCCACAACTGAACCTAGATTCTTGAGACCACCACAGAGGAAGTTAACAACATAATGAAATTTATAGAGCGCGTTTCTCATGGGGAGGACGTCCCAAGGCGCTGGACAGGCAGGGGTCCAGACCTGAGCATGAGGGAGGGGTGGTGTAGGGGTGAGAGAAGGCAGAGAGCTGGGAGGGCAACTGAAGGCACGATCAAAGAGGAGGGTCTTGAGACCGGCCTTGAAGCAGGCAAGGGTGGAAGCGAGGAGAAGGGACCGTGGGATGGAGTTCCAGAGTGTGGGGGTAGAGAGGCTGAAAGCCTGGCCACCGATGGCAGGGCGGGTCGGGCGGGAGACATGGAGCAGGCCGGAGCCCACCGAATGGAGGGAGCAGAGTTTTGGATGATCTGCAGCCTGTGAAGGGAAGAGTTGGGAAGGCCGATGAGGAGGGAGTTTCCATAGTGCAGCCTTGATGTAACAAATGCATTGGTGAGGTTTTTAGCAACCTGGGGGGTGAGGCAGTGGAGGAGTATGGCAGTATGGCAATGTGGCAAGATGGCAATCTGGCAATGTGTGGGGGGAGTGACCATAAGCACGGTCGAAAAGCAAGGTTTTCACGCCTTATCATGTCTTCGAGATGTCTCAAAACGATTCACAGAATATACTGTAAAGTGTATTTTGTGGACGAAACGTTGACACCCAATAATTTGAAAGGTAATTTGGTGTTATTCAATAAGGCAACCAGAGATTAAACATTAGTTGGTAATTGGGCATCTGACAACGGCCTTTGCTGGGGCAGCAGGTAATAAGAACTCCTGATTATCAAGTTTTGCTGTGTCCGCATATACTATATACAGTGTGAACAAAAAGTCCTGATACCATTACAATGTCTATGCGAGTCTTAAAGAAATGATTTTTGAATAGGTAGATATATTTCTTTAAGACTTGCACACTATATATAGTGTATAATTCTGTATGTACACGCAATTATTTGAAGGGTCATTGGGTGACATTCAAAGGACACATGTATAAGGTAACCAGTGGTCCCAAAGGCACCTTCCACAAAGGTCCATTGGGAGTTATCCAGATTTATATACTGCACTTACATACACACAGAGAAATGGGGGGAGCGAGTGGGGGGGGGGGACGACCAGAAAGAGGGCTGAGGTCTGCTTTTCATACACCTTTTTACAAGTATATTGCACTCACATTCTCTCTCTCCCTCTCTCTGTCTTTCTCTCTCTTACACTCTGTCTCTTTCTCTCTCTTTGTCACTCTCATATTATCTTTTTCTCTCATTCACACATTCTCCAACACAGTCTGTATTTCTCTCACACATACACATTCTCTCTCTATCATTCACTTTCTCCCCATCTTTCATTCTCTTTCACTCTCTCTTACACTCTCTGACCCTCTCACTCTGTCTTTCTCTCACACACTCACTCTCTCATACACTATCTCTCACAAACACATTATCTCTCTATCGCTATTCTTTACTTTTTTTCATACGTTTCATATCTCCCGCACTCCCCCTCTCCCCCCACACACTCCCCCTCTCCCCCCTCCCCCTCTCCCCCCTTCCCCTCTCCCCCCCCCACTCCCCCCTTCCCCTCCCCCCCCTCTCCCCCCCTCCCCCACATACTCCCCCCCCTCCCCCCACACACTCCCCCTCTCCCCCCACACACTCCCTCTCTCCCCCCACACACTCCCTCTCTCCCCCCACACACTCCCCCTCTCCCTCTCCCCCCACACACTCTCCCTCCGCCCTCTCCCCCCCTCACATCCCCCCCTCACACTTTCCCCCTCACACTCTCCCCTCCCTCCCCCCCCTCACACTCTCCCCCCCTCACACTCTCCGCCCTCCCCCCCTCACTCCCCCCCTCACACTCCCCCCCCCTCACACTCTCCCCCCCCTCACACTCTCCGCCTCCCCCCCTCACTCCCCCCTCACCCTCCCCCCCTCACTCCCCCCTCACACTCTCCCCCCTCACACTCTCCGCCTCCCCCCCTCACTCCCCCCTCACACTCTCCGCCCTCCCCCCCTCACACTCCACCCCATCACACTCCCCCCACCCCCTCACTCACACTCCCGCCCCTCACTCACACTCCCCCCCACGGGCACTCAC